GGGACAAGATGACAGGATTTGGAGAACCGGTCAACAATGGTGAGTATGGTATTAAAACCCCTGGAGACGGGTAACCCGGTAACAAAGTCCAATGCTATGTGGGACCAGGGGCGTGATGGAATAGGCAGGGGGCAGAGGAGACCATGAGGTGACTGGTTGCTCGACTTGTTTCGGGCACAAACCTGGCATGCGCCTATGAATTCCTTAGTGTCCCTGTAGAGAGACGGCCACCAAAACGTCCGACGGATGAGGGCAAGATTTCTACCCACGCCAGGGTGGATAGAAAACCTGGAGGTGTGGGCGCACTTAATTACTGCACTGCGAACAGAGGAGGGAACATAGGTTCGGTTAGGGGGGCCCGTACCTGGGTCAGGGTCCGTCTGCTGGGCCTCTAGAACCTTGGTGGAGATGTCCCAAGTAATAGACCCAAGGATACAGGATGGAGGGATAGTGGTGGACTCAACCTCCCTGTCCGGGGCGTATAGGCGGGATAGGGCATCAGGTTTGGTGTTCTTGGTTCCGGGTCTGTAAGAAATGAGGTAGTTAAAGCGGGAAAAGAACAGAGACCAGCGGGACTGGCGGGGATTAAGCCTCTTGCCCTCCGTCAGGTACACTAGATTCTTATGATCCGTCAAAATCAGGATGGGATGTTCCGCCCCCTCAAGCCAGTGCCGCCACTCCTCCAGCGCCAGTTTTATGGCCAGCAGTTCCCGGTCTCCTACGTCATAGTTCTTCTCGGCTGGGGATAGACGACGAGAGAAGAAAGCACACGGATGCAGGGTCTTATCGACTGGGGAGACCTGGGATAATACAGCACCTGCTCCGGTGTCAGACGCATCCACCTCCAGGAGAGGATCTGGTCGGGTGAGGATGGGTGCCTGGGTGAAACGCTTCTTCAATGTCAGGAAGGCCTCTTCCGCCTCAGGAGTCCAGGAAAAAGACTTGTTAATGGAGGTGAGTTGTGTGAGAGGGGTAGCTATGGTACTGTAGTCCTTAATGAATCTGTGCTAGAAATTGGCAAAGCCCAAGAACCGTTGCAGCTGTTTTCTGGTCGTGGGTGAGGGCCATTCCTCCACAGCTCTGATCTTTTCCGGATCTGCCTTCAACTTTCTGCTCTCCAGAACAAAGCCGAGAAACTTGACGGACGAGGAGTGAAATTCACACTTCTCTGCCTTGACAAAAAGACGATTCTCTAAGAGGCGTTGGAGGACTGCTTGGACATGATGGCGGTGTTCCGTGGGAGATCTGGAAAAGATGAGAATGTCATCCAGATAAACAGTGACAAATTTGTTGAGGTAATTGCTTAGAACTGAGTTAATCAGGGACTGAAAGACCGCGGGAGCATTGGTTAGTCCAAAAGGCATGACCAGATATTCAAAATGCCCGAGAGGGGTCTTAAAGGCGGTCTTCCATTCGTCTCCCTCTCGGATTCGGACTAGATGATAAGCATTTCGGAGGTCGAGTTTAGTAAATATGGAGGCATCATTGACTGGGTCGAATGTGGATGACAGCAAGGGAAGTGGGTACTTGTTTTTGATGGTTATTTGGTTTAATTCCCGGTAGTCAATGCAAGGACGTAGAGATCCATCCTTCTTGGACACAAAAAAAAAATCCCGCTCCCAGGGGTGAAGTGGAAGGTCTTATTATGCTTGCAGCAAGGGATTCCGAAATGTATTGAGTCATGGCTTCATGTTCTGGTCTAGACAAGTTATACAACCTGCTGGTGGGTAGTTTGGAATCTGGGATGAGATCGATGCGCATGTCGAAGGGTCTGTGGGGTGGTAACGTCGAGGCGTGGTCCTTGCTGAAGACCTGCCGGAGGTCGTGGTATTCAGGAGGTACTCCGGACAGGTCAGGAGACTCAGGGGTCTTGGCCTTGGGGTTGAGTATAGGGATAGAGGCAGATGATAAACAGTGGGACAAACAAAAACTGCTCCAGTTACAGATACTCCCTGTTCTCCAATCAATTTGTGGATTATGCGTGGTTAACCACTCGTGGCCCAGGACAACAGGTGACTGAGGGGATGGAAACACAAAGAAGGAGATTACCTCATGGTGGTTACCGGATACCAGTAGGTTTATGGGAACCGTCTGGTGGGTGATGGTAGTCAGGGAACAACTGTCCAGGGAGGATGCACGGAGGGGCGTAGAAAGAAGAACTGTGGGAATCTCCAGTTGTTGCACCACAACCTGGTCCAGTATATTGCGTTCGCACCCAGAATCCACCAAGGCAACTACAGAGAAGGTTTTGTGATTAAAGGAGACCACACAGTTCATGGAGCACAGGGGTCTTGGGTTAGCAATGCCACCCACTAGTAACCCTGGACCTACTGGTGGGTGCGATCTTTTGGCCGAACAGGGCAGTGTGAGATCATATGACCTGCTTGACCACAATAGAGACAGAGACCAGCAGTCCTCCGCCTCAGTTTCTCCTCAGGAGTTAGCTGAGCCCTGCCCAGCTGCATAGGTTCTGTCTGCGACAGTGGTGGTGTCGGGGTCGCGGTGTGCATCTCAGGGGCAGTGATGGGAGGCAGCTGTCGGGAACTCCTACGCCGGTTCTTGAGGAGTTTTTCGATGCGAGAGGCAAGGGAGATTAGACTCTCCAGGTTCTCAGAATCTGGGCAGAAGGCTAACTGATCCTGAAGATCTTCTGATAGGGCCTGAGAAAAGGTGGCTCGGAGCGACGCGTCATCAAGTGTGGAAATGGATGCTAAAGTTCTAAATTCAATGGCAAAGTCTAGTACAGATAATCTCCCCTGACGTAAGTTCCAGATCTGCTTAGCTATTTCCGCAGGGTTGTCGGGAGTGTCGAAAATTTGTGTGAATTCAGACAGAAACTCAGGGAGAGGACCGAGTAAAAAACCAGGCTGGCGACTCCTAGCCTCGGCCCATAGCAATGCCTTCCCCCGTAATAATCCTACAATAAACGAAATTTTTACCGGATCGCTTGAAAAAGTGTCAGGAGATCGTTCGAACGCTAATTTACATAACAAAAAACTCCGACATTTGCCGGGCTCACCTGAGAAGGTGTCTGGTGTGGGAGAATCTGCGACCCAGAAATGACCTGGTGATGGTGGAACCGGAAGTGACGGAGCGGGTGGAGTGGAGGGATTGGATGAGGCTGTAGCACTGAGTTGAGCCCGCAGCTGGTGGTTTTCGGCGTCGAGTTGTAGTAACCGTTGATTGGTGATAGTTAACTGTTCGAGCACGGACTGAATGGATCTTTCGTGCTGGGTTAATGTGGAAACTAACACCGGAGGAAGTGATTCTGTCATGGGATCGGTAGTTTGGCCGGTTGATTCTGTCATGATGGGTGGTAATTTCTTAACCTACATGAAGAATCACTCAGGGATAAGGTAAGAGATGATAATAAAATCTTTATTTTATAAAGAAAACAAAGCGAAAACTGAGGGCGCTGATTCAAACGGGACAGGAAACGAGGCAACTCTGACTCTAAGAACGGTGAGAGTGATTAGAAACTGAGAACCAGGAGATGAATAATCATGAGAGGAACGGGCTTACTGAGTTGAGCAGGACGAGGGGCAGGAGGGAGAGGCAAGTCAGTAGTGATGTTACCTGTGACACGCAGGATTCGAAGCTTGTATCACCAAAACGAACCACCGCAGAGCAAAGCACTGTGTCGGAGCTTGATTTGTTTACTGAAAGTCACGTGACCAATGAGCAACGATGCTTCGATTCACCCTTCCACCCACGTGACTGCTTCACACGTTGTTTCAAACATTTAAAGCAGCGCAAACCGAGAGGCGCAGGTTTATGGCAAGCCAAATGAGCATTTATTCTGATGTCAGGATTTCAGCCAGAATTGTCATGAACATGTAAGCCATTTCTGTCCACTAGTTAACTAGTTAGCCATATTTGTGTCAACTAGTTAAATAGTGACAGCCTAAATGTCAACTAGTTAACTAGTAAGGCCTAAATTCTCTCTAGTTAACTAGTTAAAATGTTTCATTTCTTACTAGTTAACTAGTATTGCTCAGTGTGTTCACTAGTTAACTAGTGCGCATTTATGTCTACCACAAGTTAACTAGTGTGCACATTTTGACCCTCACTAGTTAACTAGTGAGACAAATACCTTCAAGTAGCTAACTGGTATGCATTTCTGCTTTTACTAGTTAACTAGTGAGCAGTTTTTGTGTCAACTAGTTAACTACTGAAGCCTAAATGTGTTCACTAGTGCGCATTTCTGCTGTCACTAGTTAACTAGTGGGCACATTTTCACCCTCGATATCTAACTAGTTGACACAAACATGGCTAACTAGTTAACTAGTGGACAGAAATGGCTTACATGTTCATGACAATTCTGGCTGATATCCTGATATCAGAATAAATGCTCATTTGGCTTGCCATACTGGTTTGTATGACCTGAGATTGACGGTTCAGGATTCAGTATTCAGTGATTAAACACCGAGTCGCAAAAATGGATCCTGTAGCAAAAAGAGGGCGTTCTGAGATGTGGGAATGCTTCAATTTAATCTCTCCAAATAAGGCTTGAAAATGTATTTGGCCTAGTCTAGTAAATTACCTTTGTAGTAGTAATACTTGGTGCATATTGTAGGGCTATATCTTTTAGACCATCTGTCATTTTCCTTTAATTAAATTAAAATCTAGTTTGGTATGATTTTTCTTCTTTTACTGGTAATATAATAGTTGATGAGCTTTTCAGTTTGGTTGTACGTGTAATGTAATTTAGTATGGCCTATCCTTATGTGAATTTTCTAATCTTCATTTTGTTACTCTATTTTTAAAAAAGATACATACATTGAGCTAATTATTCCTGCCTAATAATCCAATAGAAATGTGAAAAGTAAAATATTTGAATATGTAGAGAATGTTAATATGTGTAAATTAGATATATTTCATCACGTATCCCATAAAAATAAACATTGTTTCATTTCAAGTATTCACACCAAGAAAAACAATTTCATTACATTTATTGTAATGTTCAAATTCAAGATACTTTTATTATATGATCCTGAGGAAGCTTTTTAATGCTTTATTTGTCCATAAAGTTCAATACACTATTCATTTTCAGTAGAATTGGCTGACAATACAATGAAATACAAACATTTACCAGCAGATATCCTCACAGAGTTTTGAAGCATCAAACCTTGAACCTTTTTTCAATACAATTGGATTGTAAAGCTTTGTTGGTTCAAAAGGCTTCACATCATCATCACTACAAGTCAGGTTGATGCAGGGAGGATATGGTCGCTGGAGGTGATGCTGGATCCAGGAAGGCAGGTGAGCGGTGGAGAGCAGGAGGCCAGGGAAGCTGAACGACGCTTGTGATAAATCACACCTCAGGCAGGTGGAGGGAATCCAGGGCTGGTACAGACAAGAATGCAGAGCTGGGTTAGTTCAGGTAAACGAGTCTTAAAGTCAAGGCACAGATAAGGACGTGGCTAGACGTACCCAACAGTAGAGTATCAACCAGCATTGAGGTGTGGCAGTACCGCTCCTTAAATCCTCTGGCCAGGCTGATGGCAATTAGCTGCAGCTGCTGCTGCTGCTCCCCAACACACTCACCGGCAAACAATGAAGGGAAAATAGCAGCAGAAGCAGAGAGAAGGCAGAACCATGACAGTTTCATTTTCAGAACTTAATAAAGTACACTATTTTACTTTTAACAAACTGTTGCACCTTTCCGTTTAACATGTATTTAAGGTGGGCTGTAATGTAATCTACATTTATTATGTAAATTTAAATTTGTGAGGTAAATTGTTTCCAATACAATTCATGCACACCTTGTTTTTCTTTGAAAATGTATTGATAAAAAGGACAAATGTGGGGTTAAAAAATTACAGGACAAATACACAGCCCCTTACTGCCTGGGTGGTGGCAGGAAGTCAGAGGAGCTGCCCATTCTTTGTGCGACCAGTCCAAGAACAGCATTTAGGGCACCCAAATGTTCAAAATATCGCTCTGCGATCTGAGATTCATGCCGTCTTGCTGCTGCAGCGTCTTGTTGCATCCAGTTAACCTGCTCCCGGCTTATGCCTTCCATTCTGTCCATCTGCCTGCTATCTGCGATCTGCAACTCATCAAATATCATCTGAGTGCATGCTTCCAATTGCCGTCTTCGGTCACCTGGAAACAACATTGGCAATTACATTTGTGTTTATATGGATAACAAAATGGCAGTTGTCCTGTGAACTTGTCAGTTTTGATTATGCACAAAGCAATTTTTAGAATGGTCAGACACTACCTGTGCGTCGAATGGTAGTGGACAGAGGTGATGAAAGTGATGAAGGATCTGGCCGAGGCGATGGTGGCACAGAAGGTCCTGGAGTGCTACTTGAGGAAGTGAATGGTTCCTCTGAAGAGGGAGTGTTTTCCGCTTCAGATGTGTCTGAAAAACACAGATCAAAAAATAAATCAGTAAGAACAGATCACAAAGTAAATCAGGAAGAAAAGCACAATATTTTTACAGTAAAAGAGCATATAGGCATATAGTAAACTTAATAAAACTACTATGAGTTAAGGCCATTTTGTTATTTGGAATGTGTCCACTAGATGGTAGTAATTCACCAGTGACGTACAGATTAATTGCAATTTAATGTTATATTCTTATTCATTATATATACTTGTTAAAAGTCCACCCTAGGCTAAAAACACTGCTGGCGCGACTTTTGGGATCTTTATAATATTAGATCAGCTCGCTGTATAAAACAATGAGATGCTAACATGAAAGGCTAACTGATTTTGCTACGTTTTAAACAATGAGACGCTAACAAGAAAGGCTAACTCCGCTCCAGCCTCATGTACGCAACAAGGACATGCTAAATAAGGCTTATATCACGAACCGCATGTTAAAAAATTCAATTCAATTCAATTCAATTTTATTTATATAGCTCCAAATCACGACAAGAGTCATCTCAAGGCACTTCACATAATAAACATTCCAATTCAGGTCAGTTCATTAAGCCAATCAGAAATAATGTTTCCTATTTAAGGAACCCAGCAAATTGCATCAAGTCACTGACTAGTGTCAGTGACTTTACAGCAATCCTCATACTAAGCAAGCATAAAGTGACAGTGGAGAGGAAAACTCCCTTTTAAGAGGAAGAAACCTCCAGAGAATCCTGGCTCAGTATAAGCAGTCATCCACCACGACTCACTGGGGATGGAGAAGACAGAGCAGACACACACACACACACACACACACACACACACACACACACACACACACACACACACACACACACACACACACACACACACACACACACACACACACACACACACACACACACACACACACACACACACACACACACACACACACACACACACACACACACACACACACACACACACACACACACACACACACACACACACACACACACACACACACACACACACACACACACACACTTATCTCTGCCTCTCCCGAATCCAACCAGGCCCATCATCCTAGATAACTTTGCTCCTGTTTCTTTGCCTGAGTTAACCAAACTAGTTAACTCTATGAAGACCTCTGCATGCCCCCTCCTCATCTTACCCTCATCTTTGTTTAAAAGTGCTTTTCAGTCCATCGGTCCCAGCGTGCTCTCTATATGATCAGGGTGAGGGTGAGGTGAGACATGTCGTTTGGTCGCTGCTCGTGCAGTCGACCGGCCAGACAGCTGAGCAGTTTTGGTGTTCTTTTAAACTTTTTAAACAAACTTTTTCACTTTTTAACTTTTCAACTCTATTGCTCCTTCTGTGTTTTTATTTATTTTGGATCATGACCCCAAGGCTCTGCTATACCAGAGACTTCCTCATTCATCGGCAGCGGCAACCCGGACAACAGCCTTTCCGCCCTGTTCCTACGGATTTCTTTCCCGAGGAAATACTCCGTGGACACGGAAATTTAACAACTCATAAATACAAGGTAAACAGGAGGGGATTAAAGAAGGGTGGTGTGAGAGCGAGACTCAAGAGGGAAACACACAAACAACGAGCGCTCCCGTCCATTATCCTGGCTAATGTCCGGTCTCTCCGTAACAAGCTAGACGAGCTGCAAGCCTGCATAAACCACTTGCATGAGTATCAAACTGCTTCTGTTCTGGCTTTCACGGAGTCATGGTTAAACAGTGACGATGACAGCATGCTGCACATTGATGGCTTTTCACCACCTTTTCGCCTGGACAGAGACCACGAATGCACCGGGAAGCAACATGGCGGCGGTGTATGTCTCTATGTAAACAACAGCTGGTGCTCTACAGTCACTGTGAGGGAGAAGTTGTGCACCAGATATCGAGCTTCTGGCAGTTTCCTTGCGCCCCTATTATCTCCCAAGAGAATTCCCACAGCTTTTCATCGTCTTGGTCTACATTCACCCCAGAGCTGATGCTGCCAAAGCCACAGAGAACCTCATTAGCAGTCTGGATAAACTGGAACAATTATCACCAGACTCTCCCAAGTTCATCCTGGGTGATTTTAACCACTGCTCCCCTGACAAGTTGCTTAAAGAATTCCAACAGTATGTTACATGCAGCACACGTCAGGGGAAGACTCTGGACAAATGCTTTGGCTCGGTACCAGATGCATTTAAAGCCCTCTCCCTCCCCCCTCTTGGCTCAGCAGACCATCACGCCATCCTGCTGGCCCCTGCTTACACCCCAGTCATCAAGTGGATTAAAAAGGTGACCAAAAGCATCCAGCAGTGGACAGCGGAAAGTATCTTCACCCTACAAGGATGTTTTGAGGCCACTGACTGGGTCAGCCTTCTTTCTTCCTCTGATGTCTTCAACGATCAAGTCGACACACTATCATCATACATCTCCTTCTGAGTAGACAGCATTATCCCCTCAAAAAAGTCACCATCTACCCCAACAACAAACCTTGGATCACCAAGGAGCGAAAGGAAATCCTTAACAAAAAAAAGAGGATTTTCTTCACCCGTTCTGCACAGGATAAGAAAGAAGTCAATGGGGAGGTCAAGAGGGCCATTAAAGCTGCTAAACTGAAGTATAAAAACAATGTGGAAAACAATTTACCACAGGGGACCTTCGCTCAGCCTGGCAGGGGCTCAAAACCATGGCTGCTGTGAATACTGTGGTCACCGCCTCCAGAACCATCCAGGTGGAGGGCAGCAACCCCACCTCCCTCCCTGATGACCTCAACGCTTTCTACACCAGGTTTGAGAAAGACAATATCACCCAGCTTGAGGAGTCTAGATCCTCACTCAAACCTGGCAGCTCTGCACTCACCTTCCAGACCGAGGACGTGGTGAGAGCCCTCAGGAGGACCAGGGAGAGGAGCTCACCCGGCCCTGACAACATCAGTAGTAGAGTTCTGAGGCACTGTGCAGAGCAGCTAGGAAGTGTGTTCCAGACTCTATTTCAACACTCACTTGACAGTCACACGTCCCCAGCTGTGGAAACACGCCACAGTTATCCCTGTCCCAAAAAGAAGCAACCCAAAGTCTCCTAATGATCTTCATCCTGTAGCGCTAACCTCCTTAGTGATGAAGGCCATGGAGAAGATCATAAAAGAGCACATTGTAAGAGCAACTGAGCCCCTGATGGATCCACTCCAGTTTTCTTATCGTGCACGCAGAGGCGCCGATGATGCAAAAATCTTCATCCTGGACTCCATCCACAAACATCTGGAGCTCCCTGACTCCTCCGCCAGACTTCTGTTTGTTGACTTTTCATCAGCATTGAACACTCTGCAGCCTCACATCCTGGCTACTAAACTTTCCTCCCAATTTCATTTGGATGACCAGTTGACCCTGTGGATACTGGACTTTTTAACCAACAGGACTCAGAAAGTTTGGGTCAACAACTGTTTCTCCAGTCTCCGTTCCACCTCCACTGGCTCCCCCCAGGACTGTGTGCTCTCCCCCCTGCTCAACATCCTCTACACCGACGACTGCAGATCGACACATCCAAACTGTCACCTGGTGAAATACGCTGATGATACAGTCCTCCTATCACTGCTGTCAGGCTCCTCACAACACCACAGACCTGCTCTTCAAGAGTTTGTAGAGTGGTGTGACAGCTCCAAACTTGAACTGAATGTGAGCAAAACCAAAGACATGGTGGTGACCTTCTGCAACAGACAGAGGGATCCGTCTGCTTCAGTAACCACCATTATCCACGGGAACCCAGTGGAGGTATTAGAGGAGTACAAGTATCTGGGAACCACATTTGACAACCTCCTGAAATTCTCTGCTAACACAGAAGAGATTCTCAGGAAGTGCCATCAACGGCTATATCTCCTTACGAAGCTCAACTCCTTTGGAGTCAGCTCCTCAGTCATGATGACCTTTTACTGTGCCTTCCTGGAAAGCATCATGACCTTCTCCATCACTTGCTGGTTCTACTCTCTTAGCCTCCACAACAGGAACAGACTGCAGCACACTGCATCAGTGTGTTCCAAAATTGTTGGCCTGCCTGTCAGAACTCTTGCTCAGGTTTTCTATCAACAAGCCCTGAGACAGGCAGCTAAAATCCTCCACAACCCCTCTTCACCCCACATTGCAATGGCTCCCC